CCCAGTTGCTCTCACTAGTCAAAACACAGACTAATCCTTAGCATTTGTTAAATTTGTCCTCATATTTGAACTCAGATAATATACGATGCTCTTTAAAAAAAATTATTTCAAAGGAACTAAACAGTTGCTGTCTAACCTCTAAGTAATAAAGAGTGTGGGGGGGGGGGAATGGTAAATGGTCCAGTCCAATATATTTATTTACCATTTCCAATGTTTTTTATAGACTGAAAAGTACTTTGTAAAAACTGAGCAACTACTACGTTTAGATACACTGCATCTACAAAGAAAATCCCTATGAATAAAAACTTTTCTATGGTGACACGCAGGAAAGAAAGCATGTGGGAGCCATATAACCTTTATAAAAGTCAATGACCAAAGTCATCAATACTTGACATCACAAACTTTGACCATTTCATCGAATTCCAACACAACACCACATGTCACTTCTTCATGTCAAAAGTTTCGTGTCAAAGCTACCACCTACAAAGCCATTTGTAAACCAGAACTGAACACCAGCCACCAAAAGCACCACCAATCCCAGGAGCTCACTAGGAAGACATAGCATTAACATTTCTATCCCACTCTCCAAAAAGGAATCTTGCCTATTCCCTCTGGCTCTGTGACAAGACTAGGCCACAAGACTTTTCACTACAGATTTCACTGCAAGAGGAAAGAAAATAAAGGTAAGTAGAGAAGGATGCTATTTTGCACAACCATACAAACTATTCTTAGCCAGCCACATAAATATTACATAACTGTTTTTTATCAAGATGTTTTCTAGGTCCTAAATAATCACAAGAGTCATTGTGAAGGAACATTACGCATGTAGCACAAAAAAATTCATATGAAACAAAAATAAACTAATATCAATTTTTACCTAATTTTGTTTTCCATAAAAATTAAGACAAAACTATTCTGCACTGTTGTTTGCGCCAAGGAAAGTTTAAAAGCAAAAATACAAGATGGAATATTAGTATTTTAATAAAATGGATTATTTTCACACAGAATGCTACACACAGCTGCAAAGGGCCTTCAGAATTCCCAGCACCCACTTCTTTCCCACACTCAACACCTTCTCACATGAATTTGCTTTCTAGGGAAAAAGTTTTCTCATCAAATGCACATTAACCAAAAGTAGAGGCTACTAAAAAATAAGCACATCTTAAAAAAAAAAAAAACAAGGAATCAAAAGCCTGTGGAGGTTACTTTAAAATCAAGAGCAATTAACTGGCTTGTGCCTTTCATGGAAAAAAAATATATATTCTTAGTATACTATATAAAATGGCAATTCAAAACACTTACACTACCAGATTTCCTGCTATTTACAATCAAATTAGTACAAAACACAACAAAATCTGAAGTTAAAAAGTTTTCCTGTTGTCTAACCGTTAAAACTTGGCTCATCACTTCACAGTATATTATGATTTTTTATCACTTATTAATCTTTACACAGTATAAGTACTATAAAGTACAAATACTTTAAAACAGCTTAAATCTTATTTCATAAATGCCAAACAAAAGAATTAGAAATAAGTTGCAGCAAAACTCACTTCCCCTTTATGAAATATAACCATGTAAATGACAGCTCATCTACTTCTTAAATTATTCATTCTTGGATAAAGCTGGTAGGGCAAACTTGCTAAGTAATTATAAAAGGTTACTCGGCGGCGAAGATGGTGCCAGTAAAGCTTTAAAACTAGAAAGGGTTAGGCAGTCACCCAAAGACCACTGAAAAGTGAATCTGACAATCACTTCAGAGCCACGACTGTGGTCTAAGTATATGAATTCTTGTTCAGAGCTGATTTTTACAAGATGCAAATAAAGTCTTAAAATGTCATACTATTCTAAAGGGGCCTTTATTCTCTCACATTAAACTCTATACTCTATACTTCTGGATAACCTACAAGCCTGCTCAAGATGAATTGAATTTCAAAAAATTTAAATAACCACCAAAAAATTACTGCAATGCACACTTGTACAGCTGTCCTGCAGTGATGAGAAATCTTTTCATTAACGATTTACTTTTACTTAAAAACGCAATGCAATGTTCAGCCATGAACACTGAACATGAACATAGCCAGAGGTGCTATTATAAAGAATGGTAGCCACTTCCTGACAGAGAGCCATGATGGACTGGAGATGCAGAATGGTATAGGCAATTTTGGATAAAGCCAATAGGAAATATTTTGTTTGATTATACATACTTGTTACGAGGGTTTTGTCTTCCTTTTTTCTCCCCCGATGGAGAGAGAGTTGAAAGACAGAGAATACAAATGCTTTTTAACCAAAAATAAAATTTTGTTTTATTTTTTTCAGGAAATAAAGATTTTTCTACTTTTTTTTTAAAGCCACTACAATTGATCAGAGAGTGATAATGTCTTCCTTACTTCTCACTCTAATGTCTTCCCACAATAATCAGAAATAGCGATGGTCAAATGCAGACTTTGTCTGCTAAGGAGACAGGCTCTTACAGGACAGAGTCGGCTTCACTTGTATCTTTAAAACCCCAAACCACATACTGGGCAATCCTCAGAAATGCTCGTTGATCGACTGACAGTGAAATCAAGCATGTTTTTCTGGTGCATCAAAAATTTTTGAGAATGGAAGCTTTCAATGATCTTTTGCTTTAGTGACTGTTTTTAAGTTGCATAAATTTTATATACAGGTGCCAAAAGCGGCATAGGAAAGTTATATCCCATCCCCCCATCCCCCCCACCCCAGAATAGCATTTTACTGCTCACATAAGAACCTGGCAGAAGATTTGCAAAATGACTATATATTGATATAATTTAGATAGTCATTCAGAGGGTCATAATTTGTTAAATCAAGTTAAATTTTGCAGACATAACAATGTGAAAATTGACATCATTTTAGCCATTTTTAAGATGATCCTAAAAGCCCACTAAAAGCACTTAATTAGGAAAAGGTCTTCTACCTAGTTCTCAGATAACCGCTATTATAATTTGACTCCCAAAATGAAGTGCTGGTAAAATAAGTTATAAGACAAAACCTGCAAAGAGCCATCTCGTAGGCCATGCTGTCCAGTTCAAATGTGTCTATGACATTCAATCAATGCAGTCTCTTAAATTTCCAAAGCTACTCTAAAAATACTAAGTTAAGAACTTAACAGGAATATGTATTGTTTTCATCTATGTTTAGTAACTTCCTCTAACAAAACATGTGCCTACTGTTGTTAAGAAAAACAAAAACACCTGTATGCTTATGTTTAGTTGGCATAAATATTAATATAAAATTTTAATAAAGCAGTAGAAAAAGGCAAAAGTACAAATGTAACAAATACAAAAGGGAATCAAATTCTTTAGACACTAAATTCTGTTATGTTCTCCTCCAAACTTTTTCATGTAAGAGTAATTTAAATGTCACTCTCTCCACTTAATTGTTTTGCTGACCATTACTAAAGTGTTTTTGAGAAAGGATATTCTGTAGTCAAGTCTCATATGCCACCTTACAACTTTTCTATGGAAAGATACTAGCAAAGAGGCTGTTGCTTCCAAGGAAGAGATTGTCAAAACAAACTACTGATTTTTTATTTTAAAAAAGTCCATCTCATGCTCCACATCTGCTCAATTCTATCCATATGGTTTGCTACTGCATTTATGACACTGTATGTTCAAAATGCTCCAATCAGCTAAACACCAAAAATCTAATTACTTTAAATTCTGCTTCTTCATACGTGCATACCAACAGGACAATTAATTGTTAGGTATAAAAGTGCACCTTTCATGAGTTTGCAAATAAGGAAAATGAATATAATTACCAGGTTTGGTCAAAACCAAAACTACAGGGATGACAGTAAAGTGCTTTGATGGCCTTCCTCTTTAGAATTCGAAGGCCTAACCTTAATCCTTCCAGAGCAAAGTCCCGGCCAAAATTCTTGGTTTCTCTTAGTCAATAAATTGCTTCGGTAAATTTAAACATTAAAAGCCTTAACAATTAATCTACAATGTAACTCAATTCAAAATGGGTACACTGACACTCTTACCAGCTCTTCCAGGCCATGTTAAATGGTAAAAATATACCAGGTTTTTCATCTCACTAAAGGTGGAAATCAAATTTATTGAGACCCCTACCATGCCAGGAGACCCGAAAAATAAATACTGCCAATTATCAACCTGGCCTCACAATAACACTTCAAACTTGCAATGAACATTAAATTTAACCTTTACAATAACCATTCCAGACACAGAATGCCCACTGATCTCCTTGACATTATCGTTAGAGATCAAAGCCACTCAAGGTCCATTCCACTACATGTAGATGCGGCACAGAAAACGCTGTTAAGCAGTTAATTTCATGCCTTAACCGACATAACAGCCTACTATGAGGGGGAAAAAAAAGCACATTTAACAAAGACCTCAGATAAGCATAGGCCTCATAGGGTTGATCATAGCACTAATAATGTAAAACTTTGCAAAACTACTAAATCCGGCCCCCCAATGGTAATTAATCTGGTTCTCTGGCACAAATCTTGGGGCGTGGGGGGCATCTCCCCTTTGCCGCCAGGGTCGAAGGCTGGGCCCCTCGACTCACGGTTTATGGCATCTATCTATCAAGACAACCCTGGGCCCCAGAAACAATCCCTGCAAGATTCTGATGCAATCCTGGTACGTGCAAGCCTAATTCTCCGTCTCTTCTCCAGACCCTCGCTCTAGGTAGGGCCTACCCTAGGCCGAGGGCGCCCTGGCAGGCGGGCTCCCTGCTTCCCCGCTTGCTGCTCCCAGGTAGGTCCCCGGGGGAGCTCGCTAATCCGCTCCCTTCCGCACCGACCGAGGGACAATAACCCCCAGAGGAGGCCGCAGCGGGGACCCCGGCCTCGGAGCCCCTGAAGCTCGGGGGGAGGGGGCGCGCGGGGCCGGGATGCTCCGGGGAGGGGGAGGGGAGGGGCGCCGCAGCAGAGGATACAGGTCAAGTCCAAGTCGAATCCATCCTCTTGGTATCTCCTTTTGTTTCTGCTCACGATCTCCTTGATGATGGCTGTCATGTCTGGGGGCCGCGGGGGGAGGGAAGGAGGGAGCGGGCGGACGGAGGCGGCCCGCGCGGCGGCGGCGGCACTGGCGGCGGCGGGGCCTGCTCAGCAGCCGGGCGCCCGGCCTGGGCCTCTGCCCGCGGCGCGGCCCGGCGCCTGGGCCTGGGCCTGGGCCCGCGGGAGCGGGTGCTGCGGGTGCGGCAGGCGCGGCGGCGGGCCCGGCGGCGGCCCCGGAGGCTGCCCCGGCGCGCCCGGCGGAGGGCGCGGGCGCGGCGGGTGCGGCTCCTCGGGGCCCCGCGGGGGCCCGCGGCGCGGCCGGGGCCGGGCCCGCAGCCGCGGCAGGCCCGGGCGAGCGATCAGGCGGCGCGGCCCCCGCTGCAGGAGGCTGCCCCAGGGGCGGGGGGCCCGGCGGCCGCGGCCCCGGCGGCGGACGAGGACGACGGCGACGAGGAGGACGAGGCCGAGGCGCGGCTCCGGCGCGGCGGCCCGAGGCCCGGGGGGTGGCGCCGCCGGGGCCGCCGCCGCCGTGGTGGAGGAGGGGGGGGCCGGGGCTGCCGCCGCTCGGGGCCCCGCGGCGGGAGCGCCGGCCTAGGCCGGAGCCGGGGCCGGGGGCGCGGAGCGGGGCTCGGGGCCGCGGCCGCCGCCGTCTCGCATCGCCGCCGGGGCCGCCTCGCCTCGCCGCGCCCCGCCTCGCCTCGCCTCGCCGCGCCGCGCCTCGCTTCGCCTCGCCTCGCCCCGCCTCGTTCCGCCTCGTCCCGCCTCGCGTCGCCTCGCCGGCCGGGCCGGGCCTCGCAGGCGGCTTGCAGCGGCGGGCGCGGAGCTCACTCGGCTACCATCATGGCCGCGGCGGCCGCAGCTTCCGACGGGAGACACCAGGCAGCTCGCGCCCGGGAGGGAGCCGCGGCCGGCCCGCACACCTGCGCCTGCGCCTTGAGCCGCCCTGCGCCGGGACCCGGACCCCCCGCCCCCCGGAGGCGGAGGCCCGTCCCCTGGACCCGCCCCCTCGCCCGCGCGCCTGCGCCCGGCGCCGCTCGGCTACGCGCCACACCCCCCGCACCTCCGACTCAGCCCCCGGGGCCCCGCCCCGGCCTCTGCTCCCGCGCCCACGCGCCTGCGCCCCGCGTGGAACTCCGCCCCCGCGTCCCGATACCGCCCCCGGGGTGGGCTCCCCAGGCCGAGGCTCCGCCCTCAACCGCCTGCGCCCTGCTCCGACCCGAGGTGCCGGCGCCCCGCCCCCGTTCCGGGGCCCCGCCCCCGCTCGCCTAGCCAGCCGGGCAGAGCCTGTGGCCGGGCAGCAGGCAGCGAGCGCAGCGCAGAGCCCCGCCCTTCCCCGCCCTTCCCCTCCCTCGCCACTCCCACCGTGCAAGCGACACCGATACCACGTCGTATCCCACCGCCGCGCACAAAGAGTCCCGCCACATCACCTCCTGCCATGGGAAAAAGACGGGGAGAGAGAGCGAGAGACAGAGGGACGGAGACACGAGGGGAGGGCGAGGAGCTGACCCCGGAGAGAGCTGGAGCTAGGAGAATGTGGGGGAGGGAGAGCTCCTATGGAGGAAGGGAGAAAGACATAATGGGGGAGGAGAGGAAGAAGCGATGGGGAGGGGGGAGACTCGTTGTGAAAGGGAAGGAGATCTTCTGGGGAACGGGAGAGAGAGAAGTGATGGGGAAAGCGTGGGGGTGGGGAGGAAAGGGAGACGGGGAGAGAGAGAAATGGGGGAGGGGACGGGAGAGGAGAAGTGAAAGGTGCCCAGGGGAAGGGTTGGGGGGCTGGGCGGGCCTGGTGCCGTCAGGTGTCAGGCCGGCCTCGCAGACCGTGCCCCTGCGCATGCCCAGCGCCCAGGCCGGGCTCGGCCGCTCTCAGGTGTAGGGGCTCTGGCTGCTGAGGCTGCTGCAGCCGGCCTGGGGAAGTGTGAAGCCCCCAGCCCAGCACAGGGGCGGGACCTGGTCCGCTTGGAGCTCCGGCCCTCCCGGGGGGACCGTGGGGCGCCTGACCCCTCCGCCGCCCCGCTGCTTATTTCCGGAGTGCTTTGCAGCAAGTCTTCTGAACCATCGCGTGGAGTGAGACGACGGGGGGGCTGGTGCTGTCCTCCCTAATGGGGAGACCCCTCCCCCAAATCCCCGGAGGTGTGGCCAGGTTCCTTTCGTACCTTTCTTCAAATGGGCAGAAGTGAAGTGGGCAGAGACGCCACTGACGCTCTCCGTCCCCCTGCCCCACGTTTAGCCCCTGCTGTCTGCCTTTTCCCTTTTTTCCTTTCTCCACTCTTCCCACATACCCTAGGAATTGGGGGGGGGAAGAGATATACTTGCCCAGCCCCTCCGTTCCAGGACTAGGGGTGCCTTCTGAGCCTGCCCCCTCTTTCCCTCCACGTACTTTCCCCAGCCAGCGGGAGAACTGGGGCTCAGGAAGGACCTGCCCAGCAATCGCACCCCCGCCACCCCCAACGCGGGCCAGGCTGGGATATGGTGTCAGTCTTCTGGAGAACAGCCTCCCATTGTGTCTTCAGTCTGCGCCCCCTCCCATATAAGTAAGCTTTTCCTGTTGGGTGCCCTCCCACTTTAGCAGAGCATAGCCTCCTACCAAGTTCCCAGTTTGCCCTGCTTCCCCCAGTGCCCCCCGATAAAGGAGCTGTTCCCGATAAATAAGCTTCCCCTCCCGGTGGCTCCCCCCGATAAAGGAACTCTCCCCAGTAAAGATTTGCCACCAGTGCCCCCAGATAAAGGAGATGTCCCCTATAAATAAGCTTCTCCCCGGTTGTCCCCAATAAACTACCCCACCTAGAATAACAAAATTCTCCCCAAGGCTGTGCGAGCTGAACCCTGTCCTCCGTTTCTACCCCCATTGGAAGGAAGGTCTGCGCTAGTAGGTTAGAGATTGCCCCTGCCTCCCTTTCCACGCTAGGTCCCCGGGCTCGCGTCCAGTCTCCGTCTCCTTAGGCTGCTGGGAAAACCCGATCCAGATTAAGGTGAGGATACGCGCCAGTGCTAGGAGCCGGCTGTCTACAGTGCGCATGCTCTGCAGGAGGGCGGGCCTGTCCGGGTGGGCTGACTCGGGCCCTCCGAGGGGGCGGGGGCAGGTGGAGGAATACGCTAGTCTAGCCGAACTACTTTCGGAGCAGTGTCACGTGGGGGGGCGGATGTCTGCCCCTGCTTGAGGGCGGTGTTTAGGCTTCTCACTTCTTAAGGCCGGAGCATTGGCTGAGCAGGAGGACGTCGCGCCCGCCCCTTCCTCACCCGGGCGAAGGGGGTGGGGGATACGAAAGAGGCAGTTCATTAACGTAGGCTTGTAGAGGGAGGGAGAATGAGAGGAAGAGGCTCTTTTGTCTAGGCCGGAGCCCCGCATGCAGAAGGGGTTTAATAAATGCTTGTCGGTGGCTCCTTCCTTCGAGGTAGAGAACATACAGGCTAGACGTGGAGCACTGATCCAGCCCTTTTTACGGCTGAGGAAACTGAGGCCCACAGAGGTTGGGACTCGCCGGGTCACGCGGCGGAGCCTGGTCTCAGATCCAGCTGTCTGCCCTCCTCTTGGGCTCCCGAATGTCTTGCCGCCCCCCAGGAGCACTGAGTCCAGCGTCACTGCCCGGGCAGGGACCGGCCCCGCCTCTGTCCAGCCCCCCAGGAGGGCCGGAGCCGAGGCAGGCCGGATCGGTGCTGGATCGATGCCCCCGCGATGGGACTTTGGTGCCCACCTCGTGGGGGGCGGGGGGAGTGAGATGGTAGCTTTGTGTCGGCTCGCTCTCCCAAAGCCAGGACGGCCCTCTGCGCCCCCGGACTCGGGGTGGTTTGCGCTCGTTCTGACCTAATGCAGTGGGCTGCAGCCCCCGCGGGAGGCGTGCACACCCCCCCCCATCCTTAAGTGCTGGTGAGTGGTGTCCCAGGTCCACTCAACCAATGAACGTCAATTAGCTTTTTACTCGGGGATATTCAGCAATAATCGAAATACAAATATCCCAGTCTTCGGGAGCCGCTCTCCTCTGTACCAGGGAGGATGGATTCAAACTTCACTTAGTTCCTACACAACATTGATGCCAAGTTCATGCCCAGCTAACTGACCGGTAGTCCTCCTCTCTATTACGGGTAGTGAGTCCTGAGGCCACCCTGGAAGCCACTGCTTGCTAAATAGGCCCAGTGCGGAGCTGCAATGCTCTTCTCCCTACTCCTGAAACAAAACCCACTCCCAGGCAGGCAAAGAAAGTCCGCGTGTATCCAGAGAAGAGCTTGGTGGCCTGGGCCTAGGATGAGGGGGCCCCGGGCCTCTCTGGCAGGATTGCCTCTCACCAGATGCCATCAGCAAAGCAGTCCATAGGATCCCCAGAAGCACAGTGAGGAGAAAATGGCCCAAGAGCCCCAACTGAGGCACACTCTGGCCTCTGTGAACATGCCCCTAGTTCTGGTTATGCAGCCAGTCCAAAAAAACCCAAAACATGAGGAACCAAATGCCGAATATCTATGGCATGCCCCCCCCCCATGCAAAGCACTTCATGTCATCATTACTGTCCTAGAAGTAGAAGCCCTCTGTAGGGAGACACTGAGGCACCCTACATAAGAGCCAGACCCAAGTTACATTTGTAACGCACATTGCAGATCTGAACAAAATATTAATAAGCAAAAAAATTAAGCTTTTATTTTGTGCCAACAACCATAATAATGATTTGTTGTCAGGCATGTCTGACTCTTCATGACTCTGTTTGAGGTTTTTCTTGGCAAAGATACTGGAATGGTTTGCTATTTCCTTCTCCAGCTCATTATACGGATGAGGAAACTGAGGCATTTGTGACCTGCCCGGGGTCACACCAAATTTGAACTCAGGTCTTCCTGACTCCAGGCCCAGTTTGCTTTGTCTGCTTCAACACCTAGCTGCCCCGATAATAATAATAATAGCTAACATTTTTATAGCACTTAATATGTGCCAAGCCCTGTGCAAAGCCCTGCGATAACAAAAACAAAACGAGACAGTCCCTGCTGTCAAGGAGCTTATATTCTAGGAAGAGAAGGCCACACCTATTGGGGATTGGAGGTCTGCGAAGGGTACTTAGATCTAGGAAATCCATCCCCAAGATGGCAAGTGGAGTCACTTGTTAAAGCATCATAAAAACATCCATCATTATGCCTTGTTCTGTTGCTACAGTCCACCCTTCCCCCAGCAGCCATCAAATAAAACAAATTATTCAACCCAGCTTAGAAATCATAAACGAATCCTAAGAACCCACATTTACAAGGTCTTTTCTTCAGAATGACCCTGAAGGCTGGGGAGTGCTGGTTTTCCTACTTTTGTAAAATGAGCAGGGCCTGTCTAACTCTTAATCATTGTTATGCCCACTTTACAGATGAGGGAACAAAAGTAGGAAGAACTAAGTAACTTGGCCCAGGGTCATACAGTCAAGTGACAGCCAAGCAGAATTTGAACCCACGACTTCTGCCTCCATAGGCAGTGCCCTTTCCAGCATACCCCACTAGAATGGTCTTTTCTTCTAAGAAAAGAGAGGGAGTCTCCCAAGATTAGCAAAGTGACAGGTAGGGCTGCATCGCCTTGAAGCAGGGAGGGGAGACAGAAGTTGGATTGGTACTAGTGGCCAGGCAGGTTTTGAAGTTATCTGACTCCTCTAAATGATTCCAGAGAGCAGCTAGTGAAGATCTGGGCTCTGTATCCACATCGAAGGACAAGAGGCAGGGTCCTAAAGAAGCCCCCAGAAACCCAGGCTATCAGCCCTGGCTCTGGGACAACTTCTGGCCTGCTTATTAACCCAGGGATCCTCCTATTCCAGCCATTGCTCTTCTGGGCCCTGAACTTGTTCCCTGGTTCTGTGTCACTGCCCTGCCCAACACAGCTGTACATATCACCTACTGAGACTTTTAAAAATCAAAACCAAACCTACTTTAAAAAAATTTAATGGGGCAGGTAGGTGGCACAATGGATAGAGCACCAACTGTGAAGTCAGGAGACCCTGAGTTTAAATCCAGCCTCAGACCAAACACTTGTAGCTGTGTGACCCTGGGCAAGTCACTTAACCCCAATTACCAAAAAAAAAATTTTTTTAACGTTTTACTAGAAACTTAATAATGGACATCAATACAGTCAACTAGACTGCTTAGTGATATTTACCTTGAACTTAATTTCATTGCATAGAGTATCCTAAGGCTCTTCAGTCACTCTCACTCTGAGAGCTCTTATCATTTCTATTTCTGCCCAAGGTGAAGGTGAAGGAAGAAAAGGATTCCAGGGATCAGGAGCTTCAGGGCACCTCTTAGCCCCGTGGCCTCCCCCATACATGTGCCTCACCATGATGGGATTTTAAATTTGCATCCACTCTTCTCAGGGACCCTGGGTGTGCATGGGCAAGGGGAAAGAGTACCCCCAGTTTGTGGGGCTGTCTTCTAACTATTGTCCTTGCAACTCCTCAGCAAATTCTCCTTTGTGAAAGTCTCTCAGCTGGTTGACCACTCTTAGCAAGAGCAACACTGGATGAGCAATAGAACCCTACAGAGAAAAGTGGTCAATTGCTTCCTTCGGACCTAGCCCCTCATGGAGAGCTGGAGAGATACCAATGGAAGGAGGAGTCAAGGGAGGGTTTTCCTATATCCCACACATGGTCTTCCAGCCCAGTTGCCAGAGGCTTCAACCCCTTGACTCTCTGGATTCGAAGTATCCTCAGGAACAACCTCAATTCAATTTCATTAAATTCAACCAACATTTACCAAGCACTGTATGCCAAGCACTATGCTAGAAGTAGCTAGAAAGAGACAGTGGAACAGCTCCTGCCCTCAAGAAGCTTCTGTTCTAGAGAATTCTTCTAGCTGTAAGAAGCTACGTTGTAGTAAACTCAATATCCTAGAAAGCATGGGGGGAAGAGCTGACAAATATTCAATGCCAGGGATCAATATCCCTTCATTCTAGCGACACGCTTTCTATTTTCTGCTGCCATGTGGCCTTTTGAATGAACACTCCTTTCTCCTCTCCCACGCAATGACCTTTCAAGGAGAGGCCTGAATCAGTGGTTTTCATCTGGAGCATCTTTCTCAGTTTTTATCCCTTTCACTGATAATTCCCTAAGTAATCCAGAATGGTAACATGTAATGAAAAATGTTTGAATTGAAACAGAAACAAGCATTCTAAGGAGCCCGGAGTCCTTCCCTTAGCTATGTATCCAACCAACTGTCAGGCTGTGCTTCCTGAAGCCTACTCCCCCACTCAGACATCGTTAGCAACTCCCTATTGACTCCAGAATAAAATAGAGAATTCTCGGCCTGATTTAGAACCATCCACAATTTGTATTCCTTTGAATTTTCCACCCCTTTTATATTGCACCTCCTCACATATTTTCCATTCCATTCAAGCTGGCCTGTTAACTGTTCCTCTTACATGACATTCCATCCCCCACCCCCATGCCTTTGGACAGGTAGGTCTGCCATCCTTAGAATGCCCTCCTTCCTCGTCTCAGTCTTGTAGAATCCAGAGCTTGCTTCAAAACACAGCCCAAATGTCACTTCCTACGTGGGGTCTTCCCTGATCTCCCTTCCTAATCTCCCCAGTTCCTCCCCCTGGAAATGGCATTATCTTACTCTGTAGGTACCTTGCACTTACAAATCTCTGCCGGTCATAGCCTCCTAATAGAGTGTGAGCCTGTTGGTAGTTAGGATTGTTTCGTTCTTTGTTTCTGTAAAAGAGCACCAGCTAGCCAGAAGGTGATTAATAAAATGTCTTTGAAGACAGATGCTATGGAAGATTAAAGTCACCAGGCCTAGAAGAGACTTCTTCTGGGTTTCACTTCCTCAGTCTATAAAATGAAGAAGTTGAACTCCATGACCTCTAAGGTCCCCTCCATCTCTAAGGCTGGGATCCTATGGGGGGAAAAAAAAAGTCTTTTCTCTACCCTTTCACTCACTGAATCCCCACCCATCCTTTAAAACTCAACCCAAATGCCATTTCCTCCAAGAAGCCTTCTCTGATTGCAGCACCCCCCCCCCCAGTGATTAACCTCCTTCTGCCTTGGAGCTTCCAGAGCACTGTGATCTCGTGCATCATGGAGTCATGTGTATGTCACAGCCCCCAGTACGCTGTAAACCCTATGAAGAGGAGCCCTCACAAAATTTGGATCATGCCCAGGCCTCGCATCTGGCTGTGTGTTGTGTGCACGGGAGCTCAGTAAATAATGTTCAAATCGGAATAGCAGGAGAAAAAAAGAAAATACTAAACCAGTGCCCATTAGAATGAAAGATCAGGTGAAAAAATGGAAACAGTGCCATCTGCTGGAGAATGGGGATATAACGAGCGGGATTCTCTGCTTCTTAGGGATGGCCGACCCCACTTTGCTGGAGGTTGAACAAGCATGCCTTTGGGGAGTCTACCTAACAAAGATGGGCCAACAGACAGAGAAACTGTCAACTCAGTTGGTGGGAAGAGAGCTGGGCCCCCTGGAAGTTCCTCTGGTGAGACTGGAATAAGTCACACCCTCTCTGAGCCTCAGTTTTCTCATCTGTAGAATGAAAAGGTTGAAGCTATTCAGAGCAGCACTTTGGGGGGCAGGGGGGTGCCAATAGAAGCCAAGCAGGCGCCTAACGAATGGGGAAAGGACTGAAGGAGCCACGCTATGTGGAGTGGAACAGTATTTCTAAAACGATAAAAATGAGGTCCGCGAGTCTAAACAAATGTAGAGAGACAAGAGACAGTCATTACAGTGACTACGACGTCAGCCAAAACAACAAGGAAAAGCAGCCAAAACTAGCTGTCATGATTAATCTTGATCTAAGACAGTAGATGGTGAGCCCCTTCCTCTCTGTAGAGAAGCTGAGGGTCTAAGGTACGGAATGGTGCATGCCTTGTTGACGCACTCACTTTGTTCATGATCGTCTTTGTTTTTTTTTTTTTATAAGGGAGTGTTCAAAGGGGGAGGGACACGTGTCAGCCAATGGCATCAAACTTTTTAAAAATGAAGATTAAAAGGGATTCATGAGATCATAGACTGGCAACGGGAAGGGATGTAAAAGAGACTCAAGCCTAATCCCACCCTCATTTTTCAGATGAGTAAACCAAGGGCCAGGGGAAGCCAAGAGATTTTCCCAGGGTCACACAGCTAGGGAAAACAATGTGAGCAAAGATAGAGCAGAAGGCCAGTGTATAGGCAGGTTCTTCTTGCCCTTTGTCCATTCTGTTGGACTATCCCTAGCTTGGAGAGGGCATGCATTCCAAAGAACTAGCTAGTTCCCTTGGGGAGTGGCATTACCCGGGCTGGGCCTGGCCACAGAACTTTGGATAGGCGTGTGCCTCTCTATCATATCAGTTAGAATCGTAGGACTTCTGTGTTCCACTCAGAATATTCTGCCCTTTAGTGTTTTGGGTACCATTCACATAGGCCCATGGCACCCTTCTGTAAACTTCCTTGTGTAACAAGCAGAGTCAATGTCCTCTGACGGAAAGAGAACATCCCTCACTGGACCCTCTCCTCCCCTCCCCAGAAAGCAGCTCTGACCCCGTGATAGACTTGGACCAGGCTGTGATGAGCTCAGAATAGTTCCAGAGGGAATCGAGAAGGAGGAGGAGGAGGACACCTGTTCCTGTCTCCCACCATTGTCTGCGATGTCCTGTTACACTTGGATGTACATGACTCCTTCCTTATTCTGAGCTAATCAGAGAGGTTTTCTGTGCATCCATTTAGAGGGTCAGATCAGCGGTTTCGTGTACAAAGGGAATTCTGGTGAAGAAATTCCCTCTACCAGTGCAAATCAGCAACTATCTTATAGCTTTTAGTCTTGGATTAATGCCTGGGGCCTTATGAGGTTATGTGACTGATGCATTAGAGGTGGGGACTCAGAAAGGCAGTTTGGAGGATCAGATTGAAAGTATCCATATTCATGTCTCCTTCTATTTGAAAAAAAAAATGTATGGGCAATAAAGTAACAGAGCAAAGAAGAGGCAAACTCCAACTGTTGTTACTGGCATACAGAGACAGGCTGCCGTTAAGATCCCCTGGAAGGAGAAAGGGCAGTGGCTGACTAGTGCATCCTTGAGCTGGTCACAAACTTGTTACCAAGGCAGCAGCATAGCCAGCTGAAAGGGTCCACGTTCAAATCCTGCTTCTCTCTCCACATGGTCTTAGGCAAAGTCACTGAACTGCCATGGGCCTCAGTTTCCTCTTCTACAGAATGAGATGGCTTTCGAGGTCCCTTCTAGCTCTCTGATTCTATGAGTAAATTGAATGTCATAGATTTAGAGTTGTGAGACATTTTAGGTCCAGAGACATTAAGTAATTTGATCAAGGTCAGATAGGTAGTGAGAGCAGAGCTGGGATTTGCTCTAGGGGCCTCCTCAGACTCCAAATCTCACATTCCTTGTACTGTGTCATGCTGCCTCCCTAATGAGTTAGTTATTTGTACAGGAAGGTTTAGGCCCAGGTGAACACTGAGAGCTTGGCAAGGGTGTGGCTGCCTTGACAGGGCCCTCCAGAAGGGCTCCCCCACATGGTCACATTTCTGTTTATTCTCCCCATGCACAGTGCCTTATAGGAAAGCACCCTGGGAAATGGTGAGTTACAGCTACATTTCCTCTGCTGAACATCTTGTGTGACGAGGCTATGCTTGTCACCATCTTAGAGTTTGGGGGTGGGGGGGCAGGTCAATGTACCAGGACGAGAAAGTCTGCAACAATATGGCTATTCAGGGATAAATACATTTGCATACATTTTTTAGAGATCTAAATTTGTGCCTCATCACCCTAGCCCACCCCTCATATCTTCTTCTTCTTCTTCTAGACCAATCATGGTGATATTGTCAGATTTCATTTTTGAGAGCCCCCTTCCTTCTTGAGCTATCCTTCCTTTTAGCATGACAGACCATGATATTATACCTATCGTTTCTTTGAGCTTTTTAAAAAAAAGCTGCTATTCACAATATAACTCTTAGGCTGCAAAAGATGGCTACTTTTTCTACAGAGGTGCTCATTGCTTCCATTTTTAGCACTGTCCTCCTTGTTCTCAGAGTCAGATCCAGAAACAGTCCCTCTTGTTTATTTCTTTGCTTCCGAGAATTGAAACTTCTAGGACTTTTGTTCAAATATGTCCAATGACCCCAACCTTGTCATTTGCTACCTGGGTAACCTTGGGCAAGACTCTCTATTTCTCTGGACCTTAGTTTCCTCATCTGTAAAAGGAAGGGACTGGACTTAGCCTCTGAGCCAGCTCTAAATCTATGAGCCTATAAGACAAAGCGAGAGTTTGTAAATTTACCTTAAATAGAACCAACATAATATGCAGTAGAGAAAGATCAGAAGCATTCCCACTAAAAACAGGTATAAAGCAAGGGTGTCCAGTCACTACTTTTATAATACTGGAAATTCTAGTACTGCAATTACAATTAGATAGGATAAAGATATTAAAGAGATTAAATTATAAATTAAGAGGTCAAAATATCATAATTTTCAAAAGATAAAATGCTGTATCTATAAAATCCCACTATCTCCAAAATTAATGTAGACATTAAATTTCAACATTTTCAGAATACAAAGAACATGCATTCTTATTTTCTCGAATAAAGATCAAGAAAACAACAAAAACAACACCACCAAAATCTACCTGGCAATACATGCATATATAACTATAATGAACAAAATAAAGGAATCACAGAATCACATAATTTAAAGTTTGAAGGGACTTCAGTGGTCATCTGACTTACAATACATATTCTACAATACATAGGATATTCTACAATATGCTGTAGAATAATCTGCAGAAATTCTAACTATTATGTACCTTAAAAATGGCTAAAAAAAATGCAAACAGATTTGCAAACTTCAAGACTACCCATAAGTTTATTGGTATTGCTATTTATTCATTAACTTATTTTTTTTAACCTCCATTTTCATTGACATAGGTAATTCCCAGTAGAGAAACTCCCTCTACCAATACAGATGAGTAATTATTGTAGAGCATGTAGTCTTCAGAGAGCTGCCTGAGAAATTGAGAAGTTAATGACTTCGAGGGACAAACAGTAGGTATGTGTCAAAGGCATGACTTCAATCAAGACCTGACTAATTCCAAAGCCATCTCTCTTTCCAATATGCCACACTAACTCATCATTCTTGTTATTATCACATGGCATGTATTCAATGATCTTCACTGTCTTGTGTATTCTTCTCTGTATGTTCTCCAACTTAGCAATTTATTTCCTAAAATGTTCCAGCCAGAACTGAGCACAGTGTTCCATGTGTGTTCTGACCAGAGCAGAGTAGACAGCAGAGTACACTGTCCTATTCCTGGAAGCTATACCTCTCCTAATGCAACCCAAGATGGCGTTATTTTTTTTTTATCTGCTGTGCTCCACTCTAAAAGCCACACTATGGAGTTTATAGATCACTAGAACTCCCGTATCCTTTTCAGATAATTGCTGTCTGATCATACCTCTTCCATCTCATACTTGTAAAATTATTTTTCTGAATTCGAATGTAAGACAACATTTCTAACGTATTATATCTTTATGAACTCAACCTAATGTGCTTAGCCCAGCAAGATCATTGTGGATCCATAATCTTTCACCAATGTGCTAACTGTCCACTCCTGGCTAGGCTGCTAGGTGACACAGTGCACAGAGCCCTAGGCAAGCCACTCAACTCACAAATGAGGTAACTGAGGCAGACAGAGGTGAAGTCACTTGCCCAGGCTTCCACAACTGGTAAGTGTCTGAGGCAGGATTTGAACTCAGGTCTTCCTGACTCTAGGTCCAGTGCTCTGCGTGCTGCAGCACCCCCCCTCCCAGCATCATTCTACCTTCACAGTATCTCTCTCATCTATCTGCCCTTCATTCACTTCTCTCCTGGATTATTGCAAGGTATCTAACTGGGGTCCTCAACTCGAGTCTCTCCCCACTGAAATGGACCCCCCACACTGCCACTAAAGTGATTTTCCTAAAGCACACTTTCACCTTGTCACTGCCCTTCTCAGTAAACTCCACATGGCTCCCTATTATCTTTAGGACCAAACCTTAGTTCCTGTGTTTGGCATTTAGAACCTTTCACAGCTTGGCTCCCTCAGGCTGTCCAGCCTTCTCACTCCTCTCAGCCAAACTAGCCTTCCTTCTGCCCTTCACTGTCTCTGTGCCTTTCTCCCGGCTGTCCCCCATGCATAGAATGGCTCTCTCTCCCTTCCTCTGATTCTTAATATCACCTTCTCTATAGGGAGTCTTTGCCTTCCTCCCAAACCTAGCATCTGTCTATTTTTGTGTATTCCTGTACATGCCACCTTCCCCAGCTAAATCACAAGCTCCATGAGGGCAGAGATTGTCTTTATAGCCCTGGAGCCTTGCCCAGTGCCTGGTACACAGTAGGGGATTAATAAGTGCTTGTTGATGGATTGAACAATTGACTTAAATTCCTTGCTGGGTAAAAAGGTTCACAGTGAATGAAGGAGCAATGATGTGAAATACTGACACAGTAACCTCTTTCTGTAGCAGAGGCTCATGGTATAATGGGTCGCATGCTAGAACTTGGAATCTGGAATCAAATTCACGTTTCACCTCTGACAGAGACTCACTGTGTGATCGTGGGCAAGGCACTTGACCTCTCTCTTCCTCATCCATAAATGGGGATAATAAGAAGTGCGGTCCTTATTTTACAAGATTTTGGGAGGTTCAAATGAGTTCATGTTTGCAAAGCCATGGACAAATGTCCTTTATTCCCTAAGAGCAAGCAAAGGCAAGACTTAGGAGCTGTTCATGGGCGCTGTCCCAGGGAGAACTCCCCACTTGGCTGACGTGAGCTTCTGCCAGGATCCTTCAGGTAAAATTAGAACAAGAGTTAAACTTCCTGACCTTTCTACAGCCCTTCCCAACATGCAAAGTGCTCTGTAAACATTCTCATGAACATCCTTAAGACAATAAAAGCTCTGTTGTGAGGGTGGGGGGGGGGGATGGGCCCCCAAGGCTAGTTGATAGTGAAGGTCAAATGTCTGTCTTCCTTTAGAGAGACAAATAGCCAACCTTCAAGCCCTGCCTCTGTTTGTTCCATATTGACCGCATGGCCCGGGGCAAGTCACTGGACTTTTCTGCTGTCTGGACAAATCTCTGACTATAGGTTGCACCAGAGGTATCAGCCTGAATCAGCAGAGGGAGTTTCTTCATCTGGGAATTCCCCATCTCAGTGAAATCTGAGGTGGTCATTCTTTCCCTTTCTCTCTTGACTCGACCTCAGCTCTTGCCCGTACACCATCTATGATTAATTTCTCTTCCCAAGCTGGATGGGAGCCCACAGCCCCTCCAGCTGGGGCAGTTCTCATGATACATCAGTGAGATGGCACCCTGGCTTTTCCATCTATCTGGTGAGTGCATGAGTCAGTGCCCCAGCCTTATCAACTTTGGGGAGATGCAGATAAAATCAAGTTCCTGAGTCTGCAGAGTTGAAGACTAGACCTTTGGACTCTTGGCAACAACCCCACTTGAGGGCTGGCACTGTCAGAGACCCAGTCTGAGCAGTCTGGCTGTCTTCCTGTGCTGAATGTTATAATTCTGTAACATAGTAGATGAGGGAGAAGGAGAGAGAGAGAGAGAAACAGAGACAGAGACAGAGGCAAAGAGACTGAGATAGAGACAAAAAGAGACAGAAAGAGAACCTGCTAGAGACAGAGACAAAAGATAGAGAGACAGAGAAATCAACAGAAACAGAGAGACAGAGAGAAACAGAGACAGAGGTGGAGAGGCAGAAAGACAGAGACAGACAGAGAAACAGGGAGATAGCCACAGAGACAAAAGATAGAGGAAGAGAGAAACAGGGAAACTGACAGAGACAGACATAGAGAAACAAAGACAGAGGTGGTGACAGTACTACAGAACAGAGAGAGACAAGGAGAGACAGAGAGATAGTCACAGAGACCCAGAGACAAAAAAAGACAAGAAAAAGAGAAACAGAGACAGACAGATGGAGAAAGAAAGCCTGTGCACCTGTCAGACTTACCCAGTTTTGTATGAACTGTCTGGGTGCTTCACTACTTGCCACACAAGGTAAGCAAGCTTGAAGCGGGTCTCCAGTCCCTAGGGCGGACCCTTCATGGTGAACTTCTGGGAGGGCCTGGAGAACACACCACCAGGAGTGGTGACTGGCCCCTTCCCTCAGGAGGCTTTTGCAGCTCCTAATTAGGCTCACAGAAGGGACCTCAGGGGTCCTCTCCTCCAACTCCTTATTATACATCATTGAGAAAACAAGCCTTTATTGTGTGTAGAAAGACCCAAAGCCACCTAAGTCAGCAAAAGTCATGAAAGTCAGTGCCAGACACTGAAGGCACCATCCCAGCTCCGAAGGCAAAGCCAAGACTGTCTGCCCTCAAGGACCCCGCATTCTATGGGGAGGTCCCACCTGTGAAACGGCAAGGGTATACATGAAGGTTTGAAGGAGGGCCATTAGGAAAGGCTTCCCAGAGGAAGTGGCTCAGAACCTGAGCCTTTCATAAAGCCAGCCAGTCTAAGAAGCAGAGGGGAGGAAGGAGGGGCTTCCAGGCCCTGGGGGGCACAGAGTGTGTGAAGGAATGGAGCTGGGAGAAGGAATCCTAAGTGCAGGAAACAGTGAGTAGTCCAGTCTGTCTGGGACATAGATTGATGCCAAATGAGCCCAGAAGTTAAGCTGGGGCCAGACTGTAAAAAGCTGTACAGCAGAAAAGTCTGCGTTACCTCCCAGAAGAAACAGGGAACCACTGAAACTTCTAGAGGGGTGGAGGTCAGACTTGTGCTTTAGGAGGACTCTGTGAGAAGGGTGTGGTAAGAAGGCTCTGAGGGGTGGCCTGCTGAGCTGAGAGAAGGGACATAGCCTGAGCCCCTGGGGAAGTAGAACAGAGATCAGCCCCCATGACTGACTAGCTGTGGGGCAGAGGCAGAGGGCTGAGATAAAAGGCAGTGTCATAGAGTTGGGAGATGCTTAGGGCCCCCATTCTTCCTCTAGAAACCCTCCCGGAGGCTAGGCCTGTGGCTCAATGCTGTTATTGCAGTCCCTTCATGGACATACCACCCTTCAGTCCAGAAGTGTTCCCATGGCCCCATCCAGGGAAGCTGGGGAGATGCCCAATGATGTCAGTCTGGCCCCGGGCTTCTCTTGAGTCAGCGCCTCATATTGTGACATGGGCCTCGGGTCACACCCGCTGCTTCCCTCCCTCTTCAAAGTTCTCTGCTGCAGGGTGAACCAAGCTTAGGTGATGTCACTTCCTCCCTGGACTAGTTCCCTGCCATGTGGCCCCTAAACTGGAAAGATGACGGTGTGGGCAAAAGTCGTCAAAGAGCAAACCACTAGAGAGCTGCCCAAGAACCATCCCCCTCAAAGCTGCTCAAAGGTACAGTGACCCTTCCATCAAAGCCTCACCTGCTTGTCTGGCCTCGGCCTTGACACCCCCTCCCCACCTGTTCTTTCTTCCCATCTGTAAGGTCTCGGGGAGTACAGAGAAGAATGTGAGATTTGGAGTCAGAGGACTTGAGTTCAAATTCTGGCTAGACTATTTACTGTGTGACTATTGGCCTACTTTGACCACCTAAAAGATGAAGGAGTTGGACTCGGTCAATAGTCCTTCCAGCTCAAAATCTATTCTAATCAGACTCACGTTCACAGGGACTGTCCTGACTCTCAGTATGACTCTTCTCCACTTCTCACCTGCTTATGGGGCCTCCCACAGTGCTCTCCTGCCCCATGCATGCTCCTGCAACAAGGCCCTAACATGAGGTAGTCCGAGGGCATGATATAAGCTCTGCAGAATCCCCAGAAAGGATGCAGCAAGCTCTGATTCTTCCTAGACTTCCCTATGAGGCAACATCTGGACACATCTCCTACACCCCCCCCTTTCCCCTCCTCTCTCCAAAGGGCCCTCTTGGCTTAAATCTACTGAGAAGTCACAACATTTACATTCTAGGCCCTGGAACAAAACTCGTCTTCAAGGGTCCCTTGCCTTTGTTAACTGCGAAGCAAACAGCTCCAGCAGAGAAGGGGCCCTTTCCTTGCACGCTTCCCCACATTGTATCGTTCATGAGGTATTTTGTCTTAGGCACAGTAGGGTTTTTTCAAAGTTTCAAAAGCCAAAAATGCCTCCCCCCCCCCAACCAAACAGCATGGGACCTTTGGGTTATATTTTTAAAAGACAAAATATCTCTTCTAAACTAAGTTGTTTTCATTCAATTGAACCAACATTTATTGCTATGTGCATAGCATTGAGTGAAGGAAGGCAGAGTGATGGGAGATACATAGAGGGAATACAAAATTTAGATAAAATGTAGTTCCTGGCCTCATGACGTGTATAATCTAACTGGATAGTAGGTCTTACAGTCTTATAAATCTAGCATAACTGATAACACAATTTTAAAAATAAATATTTTATGAATTTTTTAAGTATCTCTCATTTCTGAACAGACCATCTTCCCCTCTCCTGCCAAGACACTTCCCTTATTAAAAAAATACAGTTAAGGGAAACAATGAACACCCTGGACACGTCTGAGATGTGCCTCCTTCTGCTTCCCCTGGATCAAGGAGGGGAAGGGAAGCTTAAATTTCCCCATCAGTCCTTTGAAGTGAAGCCAACAGCTGTCACTTGATCAGGCTAATCATACAATCGGTCAGCGATGTGTTCCTCCTGAAGTTCTTCTAAAATGAAAGTGCCTAAATTCCATCTGGGAATAGATTTCATCATTGACTAGTGTCATCTACAGGCCCTGGATTATTTTAATGGGAGAGACAGGGGCAGCAGCTCCTTCATCCTTGACTGTCAACAGTGGGTTGAAGAAGGGGTCACAAGTGCCTACAGCCAACCTAAGGCACAGCCCATGAGGAGACTGTAATTTCCTTGAGGGCAGGGACTGTTTCATTTTTCTTTGTATTCTCAGTGCCCAGCAGAGTGCCTGGCATACAGTAGGCATTTAATATTTATTGAATCGATTTGAGGAGAGAAGGAAAAGGGAGAGGACTGAAGAGAACAGAGAAGGAGAGAAAGCAGGGAGGAAGAAGAAGGGGATGGGGGAAAGAGAGTCACCAGCCTCTGTAGTCCTGGATCCCAGGCTGACCAAAGTGCATGGGGTCATTGTCACTACATCCTGAGAAATCAAAAAGAGAGAAAGCAAATGGGGAAGGGGAAAGAAAAGGGGCCCATCTTGGGGAGAGCAGTCAAGAGCTCTAAGAAATTACTGGGCAACCATTCATTGCCAACTATCATTCTGGAGTCCAGTCTGACAGTCACTTGGTTCTATTCTAGTTCCATTCCAGTGAAAGCCCCTTTTCTTTCCTAGATAACTGGTTTTTGGTCCAGACCAGTGACTTCATCAATATGGGGGAACTCCCAGTGTAGAAATTTCTTACACTGATGTATATTGACAACTCATTTGCAATCTCTGATAGTTGTCTTTGAAAGGCTAAGTCATTTGTCCATGGTCACACAGCTATTATGTGTCAGGACTTGAACTCAGGTTTTCCTGACTCCAAAACTGGTCCTCTGTCTACTTCTGATATGTTTCTATTCCTAGATGATAATTAAGATTTAATAACATATTGTTTCCAGAAGATCGCTTTTAAAACTTCTCAGTGGCATGGAGCTGTTAATACAATCGTAGTTCTGCAGTGTGAAGGGACCTCTGAGGTCATATAGTCCATCTCACTCCTTACACAGGTGAAGAAATGGCTCCCAGAGAGGTTAAGTGATTTGCCTAAAGTACCACAGGTAGCACAATCAGGATTTGAACTCGGACTCGGTGACTCCAAATTCAGCACTTCCTCCACTGCCTCAGACTACAAGCCTTGTAAGATTCCAGCGAGACAATGTATATAAAGCACTTTGAGTAGTGCTCCCCCTACTGGGGGGCGAAGGGGGAACAACTCTGCCAGCTGCACTTGAACTCATAAATTGGATCCCTAAAGCCAGTTTGCTTTGGGAAGATGCTATTACTCTTAGAGTCCTAGGGGGTGAACTTTGTTTTTAATGAGCCCCACTAGCGTGTCCCCCATTAACAATCATACAATTAACTTTAATGAAAGCATTTATTCAGCAAGTACAATATGAGTGATTGGTATAAAACCTGCCTCCCCAAACTGTGCCCTAGTACACACAAGGTCCCTGCAGAAAGTGAGTTCAAACTTCTAGCATGAGTATAATGAGGCACAGGAGTTGAGAACACATGTAACAAGGAGGTACTTCCCCATTTCTGGCCCTGTATCATTTTCTCCCTTCAGGGAGTCTTCAGGAAGTTCCTCCTAGGTTTCACTTTCTGTTGGGCTGCAAGGATCAGTAGTAACCTTCTTGCGTCCACAGTCAGTAAATATCTCTATTATGGGCAGGGGGTGGTGGGGTTCACTCTCCCTAAAGCTGTCATTGGATGATTTATCTTTCAACATTTGTCTGCGGCCACTGTTACCACCACCTGCCACTACTATTCCAATGGCCACTGCTACTGTTGTCTTTCAGCTCTGACCATCGATGGGACCTCAGATAAGGTCTCTGGACCTCCCAAACTCGCAAAGTCAACTGGACACTTCCATCTGGGAATACTAAAATCAAGAAATAATAAACACAAAGAGACAGAGGTGCATCACAGACACTGTGACCAGGTAGGAGATATGGCTACTGCCCCCTCTCCTACCCAACTCTCCAGGCCACTTCTAAGCTCAGCCCTGCTCCCTGTAACCATAAAGGGAAAGAGATAGGGCTCACCCCTTGTGCAGACCCACCAAATCCTGGCTTGGTTCTTCCAGCTCCCCAGCCAATCAGAATGTTTTTTATTGTCACATGGTACCAGCCCCTCAGTCACGCAAGGCCAGGTATAGGTCACCCCTAGCTTCCACATGGTTTTTTGAACTGAAGACGGTCAAGGAGTATCTCTGTAGGCTTCTCAGACTTCCCTCCCACCCTTCCTGGGTCGGTCCACCTTAATAGATGCATGTGGATTGATTCTGATTCAAGGCACGTCATTTAACTTCTCAGGGGAAGCACCTCAAACTATAAACTGGAGAGCAGGTGGTGATATGGGCGGATACAAGATGTTCTGTCTCTGGGAGCTCCTTACATTGATGTTCTTGTATGGACTTGTGTACACATGTCTACATACACATGCACATATATGTATAAAACACTGATGGTCACATATAACTGGCTGTATCTCTACACAAACACATCGATATGCACGTGTACGTACATGCGTGAATATGTATACAACATTGATATTCTCCTATTACTAGCCACACATACATACTACACACATACACACATACACACATAAATAAATAATGGAGTGTGCAAGATGTGGGGGAAGAGAAATAATAACAGATTGGGTTCTGGGAAAATAAAGTAGCATTTGGAGGAGAAGGTCACTGCCCACACGGAGCTAACCGTCTAACAGGGAACCATTCATTACCAACTATCATTCTGGAATCCCACCTGACAATCACTTGATTCTATGCTAGTTCCATTCCAACGATAGCCCCTAGTCACTTGGGAAGGTTCAAGGTCATGTTTTCCAGTGCTCCCAGCTGCTAATGCCTTCTTCTCTAAGGCCATCTTGTATGTACTCTATATGTATCTTGAATATTCTGATGTATGGATTTGTTGCCACCCCATCAGAATGTAAGCTCTTTGAGGGCAGGGGCTGTTTGGGCTTTTTCTTTGTTTCCCCAGTGCTTAGCACAGTGCCTGGCATACAGTAGGCATTTAATAAATGCTTGTTCATACATCACAGGATCATAGATTTACAGCTGGAAGGGATCTTAGAAACCACCACATTTACCTCCGTTCCCTTTGGCCGGACTTGGGCAGGGTCACACAGCCAGCAAGTGTCTGAGGCAGGCATTGAGCTCAGGGCCTCCTAACTCCAGGTCCAGTGCGCTACCCAACTGGCCACATGGCCTCTCTTGATTGACCGATTACAGGCAGGAAGCCCGATGAGGAAGCTCCTGCAATAATCCAGGCAGGTGGAAATTAGAGCTTGCATTGTGTTGGTGAGAGAGGACACAGCAGCTCTGAAGCACTACAGAGCTGGACGTGGCTGGACTCCGCAGTGCAGCATATGTGAAGGATCCGAGACGGTGCCAAGGCTTCGTCCGTGGGAGACCAGCCAATGGTGAAGCCACACAC